GCAAGCACAGGGAGAACATGCAAACTCCGCACAGAAAGGCCCCAGGTTGGCCAGGGCTTGAACCAAGAACCTGCTTGTTGTGAGGCAACAGCGCTAACCACCGCGCCACCGTGCTGCCTCAAACCTCTAATTATTGAGTTTATTGTTATTACAGGAGTGAGAGAAGTCTGTACGCTCACAGGTAGTGTAGAAAAAGATGAACTGGAACAGCAAAATAGAAAATGTACTTTTAAATATGTGCAGGCTGTAATACAGTGGTTGAACATCCTCGCCATTCCCATCTCCACATATCCAGCTATGCTTTTCCCCAAAGGGCAGAGTAAACCAGGTATTTGACTATGGTTGTTGGCCCTACAGCACAAAGACTAGATGTACAACAACTGTATAGTTAAACACACAAAAGTTAAACAAAGATAAGCAAATGTGAACATACTGTACAGCAGCAGCTGCACCAGGTGGCACTTTTCAGTTCAACTGCCCTCATCATAGGCTCAAAAAAGAGGAAAGTAGTGTAGAGAAAGCGCTGACATTATGAGATGTAGAGTTACAAAATGTGGATGTCTGGCAGGAAATGGCCACGTGTTCGACACTCACAACGGTCAGTGTGTAAACTGTCATTACACCAACTGCCTGGATTGTTACACAGTAAGAGACTTAGCCACAGAGTTTTACGTCCACCCTTTAAATTACAACACTGTGATTTAAAAGTGAGCTCGTGCAGATCATAATACAGCTGATATATTGGTCCATTGTACGTATGTGAGACAAAACAGGGAGACCGTGAGACATAATTAGTCAAGATGGTGTCTTACCCTCAGATATTAGATATCTGGGTGATCTCATAATTTAAGGGTTCGTAATTGTGGAGCAGAGTTAAAGAACAAAGGCCCTCCTGCAAGACAAGGCTACGAGAGACAAAGCAGTCTTGGCTCATTTGGTTTAATAAGGTTCCACACAGACAAATCCAGATGGTTATAATTGAATCACTTCCACCTCCAGTTGTATTTTACAGAGATTGTTGCCATTGTAAAAAGACTCCCTTTTCTTGTTTTCTCATGGTGTAAACTGTTGTAACTGTTGCACTGGGGAAAACTGCAACATATCATCCACAGAGTGTCATTTAGGTTATTCATAAAAACTAATCAAGGCATGTAAAATACTGTAAAGGGTTTCAGAATCTAACACACTGCTGTTGAAAGCTACGGTGGTTGACTTTAAGGAGAAAGCACTGTTCTGTAAATGAAGAAATACAACAAAGAGCTACTCTGCAGTCTAGTTAATTTGTCTTTCTTCCTAGAGCTCTATAGTAAAGTGTCGTCAGTGTCAGGCCTTGTTTTATTTGAAGCTACGCCGGGTCCTCATGCAGTTCATCATCATCATGTGCTAGGGAGAAGGTAATGGCTTGACAGGCTTTTCTTTGGTTTTTGGCAGTGAGCAGAGCTTTCTCTCTGCTCTGAACATGGCTGATGTGATTTGAAATGGCATCAAAAAACTGCATATACATGTCATTAGTTATTTTTGCTAGATTCATCTGGCATTTGTAACTTTTTTGGTAAAAGGCATGTGACAGCAATTCACTGTACGCTCACTGTGGAGCTTAGTTTCTTCTTTTGACTTGTCTCTGTAGGGCAGCATTCTTCCCTAAATTGAATACAAATCCTATTTTGTCTCTTTTAACAATATTGGAATTGATTGGATTGATTAAGCTGTTTTGTTGCAGTGCATTTTGCCTGTAATGTGCTTTAGATAACTTTTTTATTTCTTTTTAACTATTTGGTCTTACTGGCTGCAGCATCTCACAAGATTTTGAAACCTTTAATAAATGACACCACATTCTTTAGGGTAAATCAAGTTTTGACCCATTTGGTGTTCCTGTATAATTTAATATAGGCAACTTCTCAATTCCATCAGCATCTGACACTGTGTGCAATCACATAGGCAAACACATAGGCAAACACATGTGGGCGACGTCTACATGTCCCGCTGTCCACTGGTTTGGTAACTCCCTGATTCATCCAGACTGGGATCATAAGCAGATGTCATGCACCAGAGATGCACCAGTTCAGACATCATGTACCAATGGAGAGCCTGATTGGAGTCTGACATGAAGCATATCCTCATCATTTGATCCTTATTGTGCAGTATGGACTAGGGTATAAAAGCAGAGCTGTGATGTGACTTGACTATTGACACGTGAGCAAGGATCATGAGCCAAAATCAAATTCTCAGCGTCACTAGCACATGGAGCTATATCAAGTCAGAGTTTTCATTCATCCTGCCATTTACACATTGATCTTGATCATCTGCTGTGTACTGTAGGTTGGAGACAATGAATCTGTACTGTAGGAGATGTGTGTTAACTTTAGAGCTCAGACCACCAGCAGTGCATGTCAGCTGGCATATTTAATGGTTGTCGTCAACTGTGGTTTGTCCGCAGCAGTGGTTAGTGAGAGTGTGTTTCACTACATGTTGTAGGAGAGACTGTGTGTGTCTGTGTGCTTTTTTGATACACATGAGGACTAGTGAGTCAAAGAGAGGAGTTTTCTGGTATTTGCGACTTCTTTTTGACTCGTCTTCTTTAAGTGGCTAGCTTGTAAGCTAAAATACTTCTGTAAACATGAATACAGCCATCTTGTCCCTGTACTCATGATGTGGTGACAAAAATGTAGTTACTTTTAAAAATTCATCTTGTGAGAGACAAAACAACGGTTCAAAGTTGGTACAGGCTTATGTTAGTCTTTGCTTCCTGAAAGGAGAACCATTTTTGTACCATCTTGTAGACAGCTTCCATTCAGCTAGACAGTTTAAATTGTCATGTAATAACCTCTGAAATTCTACATTCAAAACATCAGATTTTAAGACTGATGGTCATTATAAATAAACTGCTCTTCACAGCCAGATATAGAGCTAGACAGATGTCCAGGTGGTTCCGTTACTGAGATAGAAATGTGAGCAGAGCAGGCGGTCTCCTCCGTAGTTGTTTTTGCCTGTTTATTGTAAATAGAGCTATAAATGAAACTCTCTGATAAAGGTGGGGGAAGGGAGAATGCACATTTGCCCACAAAACAAAAAAATGCGTGTGTGTGTGTGTGTCTGGGAGAGCAGCCAGAGAGCTGGGGGTGGGAGGGCAGTCAGCGTTTTTCAGAAAACATGAATGAGGCCCCATCGGGTGAGCTTCCTGTGTGAGCGCTATAAAAACAAAACCGGGCTAAAGAATGCAGAGTGCTCCCACATTCCTGAACATTCTGCCAGGTACAGGACACACAGCATTTCCTCTGCCTTAGCGTTGATTGAAAACAAGAAAACATACAAGTGTACTCCTCTGAAAGTTAAAGCTGCACTAGTGAAGGTTCCTTGTCTAAGACTAAATGTTTAAAGTCCTGCTGATGATCATGTTCATTGCATCCCACAGTGTAAAAATGTTGTGCAGAACACATAAGAAATAGATTTTAAATGTATAGTGTTTCCTGAATTACATCTGGGTCAAACAGGTTTGTCCTCTTGAGACCACAAATGTTCCTAATAAATGTATGGTCATTAGATTATTATTAGTAATCTGTGTGCAAATCTCTTTTTACCCAGAGAGTGGTGCAACAGGAAAGACCATGGAGTGTCCAAAATGGAAAAGGTTCATCATCTGGAGGCCATGAACATGCTCATTATATGTCGAACTATCAGCCCATTAAATTTGGATATTTATTTTATAGAAGTAGTCAGTTTGGACTGGTGGTGGCAAACCAGAAAGGTCGGGGAGGTCTTAAAAAACTAGGATTCGCCTTCTGAGGGCTATAACTATCAACAGTGAATTGAATGGAAATCTGTTTTTGTCTGTTACTGAACAACAGCATTAGTACAGTAGTAGCTGCTACTTTAACAAGAAAGTAATCGAGCGATGAAGTAACATTCAAACTGGAGTAAGTCTTTCATGAAAACTATTCAGTCAACA